TACTTCTCCCAGTCATCCTGGAGGCACAAGCCAAAGAAAGCTTTGAAGAAAATCAAGGTTGCATAACTCTTCATAGATGGCACATCTTTTATCATACATAAAGCTTAAGTGTGCCTCTGGGCAGATTGATTTAAATTGAGATCATTTTTTTCTTGGTGATATAAATAATCTATTTTAAATAAGTAATATAATCAAGTTTCCTGCTTTGAAATTCATGTTTTTCTTGAACAACCATGCACACTACCTGGTTGCTATATTGGCTTGCACATACAGCCTTTATATTGCTGCTTATTAAAATCTGAAACTTTTGATCATGCAGTCCACATACACTGCAGAATTACACATGCTTTGAGACAAGAGACAGATTTTTGTTTGGTATCTTTGCAAGCATGCAGAGAAAACCCCAAATATCACCTACACATGCTGTTTGGGTGACAGAGCCATATGTATTTACAATGTAAGAGTTGAATGAATACCAGTTAGCTGGAAGCCATATTAAAGAGCACAATATAGGCTCTATGGATGGTTCCCATGCTATGCTTGTAGGCTTCTCCAAGGCATCTGGCTGGTTATTGTGGAAAAAGGAAGATAGACTAGAGAGCTTCTTGGTCTGAACCAGCAAGTCTCTTCTTTTGTTCTTTGCCTCTTACATTGATGACCTCTTGTGGAACCTGGTAAATATGATGGATTGCAGACCATGGGTCCTCTTCAAAACCCACAATAATTAATACAATACACAACACAGTGGTGTAGCATGGGAGGGCTGAGGGGGTCATCACCCCAGTTTTTTGGGGGGAGCGCATCATGGCACCCTGTTGAGTCGTGAGCTGCTGCATCCTTCTCAGAATCCTCCAGGGGACACTCTGTCATTTACAGTGCTTTGTATCAGAAATCAGGTTCCATCCCCATGATTCTTTTTACATAGCCTGCCACCTGCTAAAAGTGGTCATGATTTAGATTTAAGAGAGTCTAAAGGATGACTCCTAAATATGGGAAGTCAGCGTATTTTATGCTGGTTTAAGTTAAACCAGAGTTAAGTGCAACAGATCCAAACTCCATTCAGGAGCTGGCCTAAGCCTGGCAGACGTAAAACAAAACTTTAAAATAGAGTTTGACTCATACCACCCGTTCACCGTTGTAAATTCTGCCAGGTTACTAGGCCATGTGACTGAGCTGAACAGAGTGTAAACTTTCATATATGTATTTGTATTAATTTCCAACTTCATTTTACACCAGGTTATATTTCTTTTAAAAGACACTGTAGCAGGAGAAGACTTTGGCATCTCAAATTTCAGCGGTGCCCTGTGTGACGCCAAAATCCGCTTCCTGCTCCTGCCGCTTCTCATCTTCTCTTGGTCTTCATAGTTGTGGCGCCTGCAGTGGCACCTCAGAAGCTCCGTGCCCAGTGCAACCAATCGGTCGCACTCCTCTAGTTCCACCTTTGATTGTAGTTGAAATTTTTAAACCTATAAGATTTAAACAGAAAAACTAGTTTTAATTTTTAAAAAAATCATTGGTTTTGATCTACCATACTTTTACTTTCGATCATGTTTGAATTATCCAGCCCACTGAATATTGCAGTAACATTCCTAAACTTAACAGCATGTTGTGTGTGCGTGCGTGCGTGCGCGCGCACACACACACACACATCATAGTATTCCGTATATAAAATTGTCATTGTAAAGGAAGTGTGTAGCACACAGTATTTCACGAGTCTCTAACTGGGAACCTTAAACAATAGATATCAGGGACATCTTATTTCGATTACTCTCAGCTGTGTTTGCCAAGGGATGAGCATTTTTGAGATCCAAGTCTCCCAGGAGCCATCAGCAAGCATCAACTTCCTGAATAGAAAGAGCCCTCCGTGGGAGGAGGGGTTTGGGGGGAGAGAGGTGGTGGTGGAGGAGGAGTTGTATGCAGTGCGTGGAATTTTCCAGACATAAAGGCATTCACGGAGATGAACAATATAAAAAAAGCTAGATTCAATGTCACTGGCAGATAACAACTAGGCCTGCTGTCTACAAACTGTTAAACTATTGCATCTGCTCATAAAAATCACCTTAGAGTTGCTCTGCACAGCTGCAGTGAATGTCACACTGACCAGCCTGGATCAGCTGTGTCACCATTACAAATACAAACACGTGTGTCGTTTTCGTATGAAAAGATGTCCTGTTCTTCCTGTGTGAGGGTGCAGCCCAGGTCAGTTTAACACAACCAGAAGAAGATGTAGCTGAAAGGACTTTGTACTATTTTCCTACTGGGTCCTTTGAAGCTTTGTCAGTTGTTCTTCAGTGCTCAGTGATGCCAAACAAGTTTGTATATCTTTACTGACCTGAAGCATCGTTTAGGTCAGGGAAGGGAAACCCGCTGGATCATAACCCTCATCATTCCCTTCCATCTATTCTCCAGTTCTCCCCCTTCATACTTTTTTTACTGATATTCCATGGCTACTGGATGGCACTCAATATACTTGGTCCTTGTTGGATAATTTGCAGGGTTTATTTCTCCTTAATTTACAAATGAATATTCTTCTGCATAGCAAAGGAGTCCCCTATGCATGTAAAAAGCTGATAGGCATTTGGACTACCCAAATTCACTGTTTAATTATTTTTTCACCAAAATGTAACTATGGTTGCTCTACTGTGCACATAATGCATACTGTAACTGCTGGGTGTGGTGGGTATGCAGGTCTAGCAGGACCCAAAGGACTATACAGTAATTGTACACCCCCCCCCCCATACACTTTAGTTAAGAATGTGAAGCTTTACTGCTAAATTGTTCTGCTAAATTGCTACTGAGTAAAAGTAATCCAACAAATGTTAGTGCACTGGCCAGGATTTAGCATGGAATGCACTATTGCCTTGCTTTCCAGATTATCCTAATCCACACTCAATCTAGACCTCTTGCTTTTTTGGTTTCTTGCCCCTGAAAAATATTTCTTGAGAAACTGGTTTCATTTTGAAAAGTAAAGCTCATTGCACATTGCAGTTTGATTCTGTATTATCCTGAAGTGTGAGCATTTGAAAAGAGATGTAGAGATGCAATGGGAAGAGGGGCATTATCCTCCCCTGCTCAGTGACATTGTGGGTGGGCATATATACCAAGGACTCAGCTAGATTGGTAAAGAAATAGTGTTTTATAGGCATTGTATATGCAATATAACACTGTGACAGCAGATGGCGGTGTGGAGTCCCATCTTTCCCTACCAGGTTTCCCTGTATGAGGTTACAACCTGTTTAACTGAATCGCTTCTTTGACATGTCTAGATCCAGCCCAAGATTCCCTTACTATCACCAATATCTTCTTTGCTCACCAGGGGCATGGAGGAAAAGGATAATCAAGGGGAGGGTTTTCAAACGTGTATCAAGTAACTACACTCACCCTTGTGGAGGATCTAAAATTAATCTAGATTGAAAGCAGAATGTTGAGGACAAGCAAGAATGCTTCTGGACTGAGAAAAACTACATTTGTCTGCTACATGTTGGGTTAGTGCGTAGGCAGCCTTCGTTTCTCACACTGAGGGTGAAGTCATATATCATTTAGGTGTAGCAGAGGTAGTTTCCAAGTACCTCTACAGCACTTTTCAGTACATTTCAATGCTCTGGAGCTATAATTGCAAAAAATGGATTGGCAAGCTTAAATCTTCTCAGGGAAATGCCACCTATGGGGGGTTCTTATTGAGTAGTGCCCATGACATCACCAACATGCCTTTCCCCTCATTTGGGAGCAGGGGGTTAAATTGGGCTGCATGTGCCAAATATATATAAGTGGCCGATGGCACAAAGGAGGACAAAATTAAGGCCTGTTTCAGCAGTCAGATTACAAGCAGTCTAGCTACAAAGCAAACGGAACCTGGATTCAAGGAAGGGAGATGTTTAGAATGTACAGTCCTACTGTTGTTCAGAGTGTTGCCTCTGTCTCCAGGCTAGACCTTTCACATGCGCCTGTTTGAATCACAGAATACAGTGGTACACTTCAGGTTACATACGCTTCAGGTTACACACTCTGCTAACCCAGAAATAGTGCTTCAGGTTAAGAACTTTGCTTCAGGATGAGAACAGAAATCATGCTCCGGCGGTGCGGCAGCAGCAGGAGGCCCCATTAGCGAAAGTGGTGCTTCAGGTTAAGAACAGTTTCAGGTTAAGAATGGACCTCCGGAACGAATTAAGTACTTAACCCGAGGTACCACTGTAGTAGAGTTGGAAGGGGCCTAGAAGGTCATCTAGTTTAACCCCGTGCAATGCAGGAATCTCAACTAAAGTATTGAGGCAAACAAATTTATTTACTTTGAAGCTTAAAATGGTATTGAAAGCTCATTACCGAAGAAACTCAAAGGAGCTGCTGTCTCTGTCCTTTAGATAAACGAATGGCTTTCTTTCCCACCAGCCCACACTTGCCTGCCCTCCTGTTTCTGTACTCTTTTTAGCGTCTCCCTCCAAGTCTTTGTACTTTGGCAGTGCTCTTGTTTTTCTTGGAACCCTCTGTGAACTTAGCAAGTAAAATGATTTGGGCACCCAGACTTCAAATGAATCTTCTTTTTTAAATAAAACAGCTGGTCTCTGATCCCTCCCCCCTCAAAGTCAGCACAGTAGCCTCCTAAGTCCCGCTTGCGGTACAGTCACATGAGCAGTTATTTAAATTTAGAGAATCCTTAGGCCTAAACCTACCCTGTGGTGTTTGTTTTTTATTATCTGATACAGATAGTGCATAGCAGACATGGAATTGCAACTGCATGGAGGTAGCTTCATGCGGCAAGTTGCTTTTGAGGTGGCCCACCATGACGTTTGGCCAATTAAAATTATGTTCTGTTGATGCATCTTTTTCTAGCTTTTGTGTTTTGATGGCATGATTACAATAGCTGGAAAAAATCACTTGGAGGTGTTGCTTAGAGTAATCTGCTTGTAATGTGAGCCCGCCTCTACACAGTTCAATTTTCAAGCAGTATATGAATCTTATATGTTCATCATGTGATAACTTGCATATGTGAATGAGTCATCACGGGTCTAATATGGCTAAGTCAGTAAAGCATTAGACTCTTAATCTCAGGGTTGTGGGTTTGAGCCTCACGTTGAGCAAAAGATTCCTGCATTGCGGGGGGGGGGGGTTGGACTAGATGACCCTCATGGTCCCTTCCAACTCTACAATTCTAAGGTTCTATATTTCACATCACCTAAGAAACAAGGCCCCCTTTGGAAGGAGGCGCTTATGAGAAACCCAGCCCCAGAGGAAGATGACCCACCATAGATGGCCAATTTTGGGGCACCATTGAAGGGGAGCTAAGTGCCCATTGTTTGGTTCATTATAGGGCCGTAGCAAAATATCCCCTTTTTGCAGTGCAAATTGCAGACTGTGAAATTGGGATGGGAGCTAAAACTGGGGAGACCCAAGTTCAAATCTCCACTTAGCCATGAAATTCGCTCAGTTTCAGAGGGTTGCATGACTGCAGATAAAGCACGTGAGTAGGAAATAATGTAAAACACATTGAGCTGCTTGTAGGAAAAGATGTGTTATAAATGTAAAAAAAGTAAAATAAAAGAATAATTAACAGATGTGGCTACTTTCTGTGCTGTAGGATGGATTTCATGGGTGGAGCAAAGCTCACCTGCAGCTTCTTGCAGCTTCTCTGTGTAGCAACCACTATACAGGCATTTCCCCACTTGCACACAATCAGCGTGCACACTCCTGCTGAAGGGGGAAGCGGTGGGGGCAGAACAGTTGAATCCCCATTTGTGGGTGTCCTGGTGACATGTGCGGCACCCCAGAATGGAACCCTGCAAGCTGCAGCCCCAGAGAGGGGAGGAGCCTCCCCAGGGCAGCTCAGGAGGCTGCTTATTCAATGCTTTATAGCTTTCTCTATTGGCCAATGGTGGACGTGTGCAATGGGTTCATCTGATCTTTCATCTCTAATGGGTGCTCCAGTGGCTGATTCTAGTTTTGTTGTGCTTCAGATTTTGTTTCTGTTGGCGATTTACCTCCCCCAACTGTTTTATATGTCCCACTAAATTATTCTTCCGTTTGGAATTCTGTTTCTGCTCATGGTTTAATCATTTCTTCCTTTGTTTAGCATTGCCATGGATTGAGACCTGGATCTCTGACACAGTTACATCAGCTGTATTTCCCATCTATGGTGGGGGCGCAGGTTTTCATTGTTTTTTAAAAATCCTCTTGCTGTTTTGTTCCGGTGATAATTTGGCAACTCTTCTTTTTGAATTTTGTGGAATAGGATTATTTTCTCTACAGATGTTTTTCTCTGGCTCTTCAATACCACCCTGAAGCCCTGCTTTGCTTGTATTCCATTTTGATTTAGAGTGTCTCTCATATTTACTTCTACCGGTTTGCTAGCACATATTCCATGTGTGCTCAAATGATATGCATGCAGGTCCTGTATGTGTGATCAGAAACAAAACCTCCATGAACTATATGCGGAAAGGTGGGGATGGTTTAAATAATAAATAAACAAACAATTTAAAATGCAGGGCTATATAATTGTCCCATATGCTGTTTAACATTAGCATGAAGCCACTGAGTGAGATCATTTGAAGATTTGTGGTGCAATTTCATCAGTAAGCTGACGCACCCAGCCCTACTTCTCCTTTTCATCAATTTCAGGTTGTACAGTGAAAATGCTGAACCACGGTTGCGAATGGTAATGGTCTGGCTGAGGGCCATAAACTCAGTGCTGATAAGATAAATGGAGACATCCTGGCCCACAGCTATTCACGCTTTTTCTGTGTCCCACTTCCATTATTGCACTGTTGGAATTCTGGAAGCCCAGACCCATATCTGCATACCCTCCAACATTTCTCTGATGATAATAGGAACGTCCCATTCCATAATGATAATTTTTACTATTTATACCCCGCACATCTTACTGGCATGCCCAGCCACTCTGGGAGGCTTACAACATATATGAAAACATAATAAAACATTAAACATTAAAAAAACTTCCCCATACAGGATTGCCTTCAGATAATTTGGGGGTCAGATAATTCCATACCCTCCAACATTTATCCAATGAAAATAGGGACGTCCTAAGGAAAAGTGGGACATTCCGGGATCAAATCAGAAACAAGGAGGGCATCTGTAAATCAGGGATGTCCCTGGAAAATAGGGAGACTTGGAGGGTCTGCATTTGGGGCAAGCATTCTTTGGTGAGAAAACACCAACAGAGATTTTGCATGGCAATGCTTGCAGCAATGAAAAGTGTGGAAATATCGGCCACAAACCCTTTAAAACACAGGATAGATTCTATTTCCCATGCCCTAGGGCAGCTAAGCCTACAACTAAGCCCAAGCACATGTACTCTAAAATATTAGCACATCATTTCTCTCTTTACTCCTCCTGCCCCTGTTTATTACTCTCGCCCATGGTGCTACCCCTGCATATTTTATTCATTTCACCTATATTCTGTTTTTCTATCATCCATCACAAAACCCAAAGCAAGTTTTAGGTTGTCAGTACTTTTGGGCTGGGGCCTATCCTCTTGTACTCTTTTGGGTGTGTGGGGGGGGAGAGAGGCTCGTTTAATTTCATTGTACACAGTTTGTACAACGACAATAATAGTATTACAGTATTATTATTGTTATATAGAACGATTATTATTTAAAATATTTAGTATTTATTCCCCGATTCCCATTACAATACTCCTGCAGATGGGCTGTTTAGCTTTTTTAATCTCCACGGTTTGAATAACCTATGATCCTCAAACACATTTGGAGGGCTTTTGCTCGGCTAACACCATGCAATTTCTTCCTGTCCTCGGCTTCACCAGGGAACAACTCTGCTTCAGTTGTTCATTAAATTCTGCAGCAAGTGTTGGAGGGCTACTGTCCCTTTCCAAACTACCATGCTTTGGTCATACAATTACAGTACTTACTGTTCATTCCTAGTTTATTGTGCAAGGTCATTTAGGAAATGTTACACCAAGCAGAGATGAGAACCAGAACTATTTGGGGCTTGTGCAAGCTGTTTCATACACCAGATGATCTTCCCTGTAAAAGCCACTGTTTGAAACCTTTATGCCATTTCAGAAATTCTGTTGTGCACAACCTAAGAAGAACAGTGCTGGAGCAGTCTAGTGTTCTGTTCCCAATATGGTCTAGTCATACAGCGAGAGCTATAGTCTGAAGGCCCCTTTGCAAAATCCTTAATAAACAGCTATCTGACTTTTAGAAGACAGCCCTGTTTAGGAAAGTTTTTAATGTTTAATCTTTTATCACTTTTATGATTAATTATTATTAATATTCTGTTGGGAGCTGCTCATAGTGGCTGGGGAAACCCAACCAAATGGGCAGGGTATAATTATTATTATTATTTAGATACAGGGTTTTTTTAATTAAAAAAATAGATTCTTCAGGAAGTTTTTAATTTATTTTTAACAGTAGGGAGAAGTTATCTTCCTTACTGGTTGATATCTTTTGATTGTTGTGAGGTGGTGGTTTTTTTGAGGGTGGTGTTGGGCTGTGTTCCTGAGTACCTTCCAATTCCCGGATCCAACAGGGACCCAATTGCTGGAGGAGCCAGACAAGGGTGGAGCCACACTCTAGAAGCTGCCAACTCCCGGCCGGGCAGCTGGGAGACAGAAGCAGGCCTGATTTCCCCTGGGCTTCCAGGCTGTGGCCACGAGAGAAGTGAGGCTTTCTTGGGGTGTTAATGCTGTGAGCCTCTCCATTGTAGGTTCAGGTTATATATGTGTGTAAATAAATCATATATTTTAAAGACACCACAGTCTCCGCTATCCCTCATTCTGAGGAAAACGAACCTTGGATAAGCACCTGGAACCCCTGGAATCTTGCACCATTTGGAGTTTGGGGTGATGTGTAACACTATGTTTGCTCTAGTAGTCCAACAGGTCAGAGAAAGACTTATCACACAAAATGGTATTCAATGTTCTGGGGATCATCTGTGTTAAAACGTATTTCTGTGATGATTAATATTTTTTAGCAAATAAATTTGACTGACTCATGCTGAATCTAAACAGGTCTGGGTTTGGCTGGAGCCTGCATGGGAGATCTCTTGGGAACATCCTGCACACCAGCTTGAGTTCTGTATAAATGTACTAAGCAAGTACATGTCTCTGGGAAGAACACAGCCCTGATGAGACAAGCTAGACTTGCTCCTCTCCTGCTATTTGCCGCCAGCATTGGCAGAGGAACAATGCCTCTGAGCATGAATGCTCTAACCATCTGGACATTCCCTCCATGAATTTGTCTATTATATATGTAAACTGTTGTTGTTTTTTTAAATACACCTTACACCCTGATCCTGAAGATTACTGTAACTTGCTCTTGAGTGAGGTGATAAACATTACCTTCTCATTATCTCCCCTCCTTATCTCTAGGGCTATCTCTTCTCAGTGCTGAGGAAACAGTAACCCTGGCTCATCTCAGCTTCCAGCCAAGCCCATGCAGCGACCTGCTAATTAATTAATAAATCAGCTTTATTATCTCCTTACTGAGTCAGTGTAGTGTTGTGGTCAGTGTGTTAGGCTAGGATCAGGTTGATCTAGGTTCAAACAGTAATCCATGAAACTTGGGAGCAGCTGCCTGAGTTAAGGGTGGGTGGCACTGCTTTGTGGTGGTTCTGGTCCTACTTAGATGACCATTTCCAAAGAGTGACCCTTGGGAAGTGCTTTTCAGCCCTGTGGAGCCTTAAATGTAGGGTTTCTCAGAGTTTGCTTTTATCCCCTGTGCTGTTTAGCATCCACATGAAACTGCTCAGTGGGGTTATACAGAGGTTTGGAGTACGTTGTCAGCAATTTGCTGATGATACACAGCTCTACTTCTTCTTTACTTCTGCAGGTGTGGCAATGGAAGTTCTGGACTGTTTTCTTGCCTTGGTGATGGATTGGATGAGAGTCAACAAACTGATGCTCAGTCCATATCAGGCTGAGGCACTGCTAGCAGGTAGTTCCTTAAGCCGGATGAATGGGAGGCTGCCTGCTTTTGATGGGGTTACACTCTCTCTGAAGGAGCAGGTATGCAGCTTGGGGGCCTCCTGGATCCTTTGCTGTCACTTGAGGCTCTGGTGGCCTTGGTGGCTTGGAGTGCCTTCCATCAGCTTTGGCTGGTGGCCC